ATTTATGTCAAAAACATCATAGCATTAGTGAGTGCTTCAGGTACTTGATTTTTAAGCCAATTTATTTTTCCCATGTTTCTTGTATTAAAACCAGGTGTTTCTTATGCATACAAAAAAAAATAGAAACAATAATCCCATCTATATTTAATAATCCCTTAGTTTGCTTGCTACCTCTGATCACCAAGCCAACTCATTTTTCTTGTCACTGATACCCTGTAATTATCTCTGGTAAGAAAGAATACATCTTTGGGTCTATGTCATTGGTTTAGGCTATGTTCCTACTAGAGTAAAGGTCCTTGTGCTACATTATGAACCACATTCCCATAATATTTGGCTTCTTATACTCAGAGCACAGCTGAACCATGTGTGACCTTTGGATTAGATAACTTTGAAAAATTGCAAAGTAAGATTTTTTATGTCTATCAGAACTTGGATCTGTGTGGAATGTTTTGCACTTTTGAGGCTTCCTCTTTCATGAATCTCAGACAAATATAATTTGGTTTTCATGCTTGAATGGTGTTATTTTTAGATGTGCAGAAGGAGATTAGATAATGCTGCATAGCAGAATTTTAAAATAAGTTCTGCAAAGTACAAATTTCACTATCTAAAATAACATCCCGAGTTGCTCACCATCCTCTGTCACAAGAATATGAAGCTAATTAGATATTGGGTAAGCCATAGTCATATTATTGATTTTCTGTAGGTTTCTTAAGCTAGTCATAAAGGAAAAAAAAAAGCCAGTTTTTGAGTGAGGCTTCAATTTTTTGTTGGTGCTTAAAATACTGATCAAGAATTTTAAAAAATAATGTTGTTACTAATAAGTAAATGATAAGTCAAAAATGCCTATGGGGATTTTTTTTTGTTGTTGTTGTTGTTTTGACTGGGTTTGCTATCACTATTTGCTTTTTAATAAAACAGAAATCAGCCATCATGGACTGTCATGGATAAATGTTGCCTGACTTCAAGGGTCAGTGATTCCTGGCTAGGACCATCAGCAAATCCTGAAGGGATGGTTCCCCTCATCTGGCTCTGCCCATCTAACACTTTGAGTCCAAGCTTTGGGCTCCTTTCCTAGTCGCCAGAGCTAGCCCTGCCAGAAGTGGGTGTTTCAGGTGAATCATGCTCTGTAGTTGCTGCTTTATTCCAGCTTCTACTGGAGGCATGCCATGTATGGATCAGGATGAGCAAGTTCTCTCCAGCTGGGTCCTCTTCCTGGCAGTCACTCTGCTGTCCTCAGCCCCAGATCTTGAAGTGTTAAGAGCTCTTAAGTGTTCTTACAGACCTGCTGAGATGATGGGGGCCATCAGCCCTGACTTCCTGTACTCCCCAGAGCACAACCCAAACTGGTACCGTACACCTCCTGGAAAGGCAGTCCTCAAACAGGCTAGAAACTCCCAGTTCCTTGGAGGGGTGTCCAAGTGGTGAGTGGGCTTGACTTAAACAAGTGTGTTCTAATTCCACTTGAAGTTATCTGGCTTCAGCCTCCAGATCCTGGTTTTTGTCATGGCTTTGATCTCATTTAAGGATGCTTTCAGAAACTAGCATCCAAATTCAATACATGATCAATGAGGAACATTGCTGGCAGGGAAACACGTAGAAGTATTTTCTTTATATTTCCTACATTGTTGCCCCCAAGGAAAGTTATAGGGTGGCTACAGTCATATTACCCTGAAACTTCTCAGATGTTCAGGC